GTATGTTACTGAAGGGCATCGATGGGCGCTGATCTCAAATTTGCTTCTAAGCTGCTACGCTTCTTCGAAAAATTCTGGTATTATGATAGAATAGTGCAGCATGAGCGCTGACGTATATAGCTTAGAGGACCTGTCCAAACACTCTCAAAATAGAGTTTGAAGAGTTTTTGCACATTTATCCAACGCCACAGCCTTCGTCAATCTTCAGGTCCAAAACTGATACGACTGTGTCTAGCGCTTGATGAACGTGTGCTTGCCAACGCTATTGATAGCAATCATGCATCATAATTTACATTGCCTCATTTGTTCACATTAAGCGTTTATTAGTGTTGTAAGTTCTTATGAGTTCTAATCAGCGGAAAGGTCAGGAAAATAGAGGAAAAGATTGAGGCATCAATGAACTTGCTAGTCGTCATTTTCATAGCAAAAACTGGTTAACTCATCATGCTCGTAGCAAAGACCCATGCTCTCTCATGCGCACTCATTCTGCAACGGATCTGCCGTAATGGCAAACAAACGAATCCTCTCCATCTGGATCGGATGCGGAATGAATCGGGAGATTGAACGAACATGGTGCGCAAGTAGGCACGGATGCGCGCGTTCGCAAGCAAATTGCTGCCGATTCGATCCGGATCCGATCCGGGTCAATGTGGATCGCTGGCAAATATGATGCCATACTTGTATGAAGCGAAGAAAAGTAAAATCCGCTGATTGTGTACACTCTTAGCGAAGACAGCCGAACACGCCACTTACGTTATTATATCATCTCTTACGATACTCACATCTTTGCTGTCGTATACATCGTCGTAGATATTTTTATCATCAGCAACAGTGTCGTAGAGATTTCTCTCGTCTGCCACATCATCGTAGATCACTGCTCCATGATATTTTCCTTTAGCAGCGACGCGATCGTAGACAACACCTTTTGGATACGACTCCTTGTATAGAGCATTGCTAATATCGTACGCTTTGTCTTTAGAGTAGGTTTCTTTCGAGGGGGCAGTGTCGTAAATCACGCGCTTCTTGTATGTTTCTTTCGAAGGCGCTTTGTTATAAGCCGTCTCCTTAGAAAAGGTTTCCCCTATGATTCCCTTGTCAACGAGTCCGTGGCGATACAATTCCTC